TTAACTAGAATGAGCATGGTGATGAACTTATTTATTACTTTGATATGTCAACCATTCTAATGGAAGGCCGGATATTATGTTGAGGCATCCACCGGCCTAACAACCCATGCACCACTTCCACCCCCATTTTAACTTTTTAAAATAAACATAGTTCTTGGACCATTATGCTAATAAAAGTTAAATAAATAAATAAATAAATAAACTTGGTTCGCATTTCTTCGTAAGCAATTATGCATTTTTAAAATTTCAAATAGTTTGAAAAACTCATCGCAACTTTTTGGAGCTTACAACTCTTAGGTGTATGGACTCATCCTTGGTAGGGTCGGAGACCGCCACTAAGAGTTTCAAATAGAAAACACAAGCCCAGGACTAAAGTTCAAACCATGTGAAAATAATTCAAAATTGGTTATGATGATTTTTTACAATAAAAATTTAGATGAAGCACATTTCAGTTTCAAAATTTGACGATATTTGGGAAATTCTTAAGGTTCTAACAGATCCAGCAAATCTGGCGACCCATCAAACTGTTTACATAGCCTAGATCTTGACCTGACTGGACCCAACTCGTGTTCAAGGTTTTGGTGCTGGATTTGACCCATCGGATTCAAAACTTAGAACCGAACCCAACCTAGTTTAGGTCCGGGTCACGTATAAGAACCTAACAAACATTTTTTGAAAAATATTCAAAAAAATATGTTTCAAATATATAAGTCATACACATATATACATCATATATATATATATATATCATTCTATACTAATATAACGAGACAATCTTTAAAAACCATGTTAGGGGCATTTATTTTACTCCAACTTTTTAATATACATTTTTTTTATTCTAATTAACAACCCCAAAAGATCTAAATTTAAAAATACACCCTAAAAAGCTTTGTTTTAGCCATATTACATGGGCCATCGATTTAGTGAGATGCTAAGATCTAGGCTTTAAAATGAAAATTTTTCCTTTCTAATTTTTTTAGATAGCTTTACTATCGTTAGATTATAAATGACTAGACCTTGAAATTTACCAAATCCATAGTTTTGATTAATTATTGGAGGGGACTCAGTTTGACCATATTTTGTAGAAGTTTGGTTTCATTATATTTCAATGACATGGTGGCATGAGATCAAACACATATATTATAATTATATATGATGTATGTACTATTTGTATGTGTGTATATAGATAGGTTTGGGTCCGGTCCAGCTCGGGTCGACCTAGACCCAAACCCGACCTAGATCCGATTCGAATTCAAGGCTATGGGCATGGAGCCTTGGACCCAATTCAAAACATGAACCTTGATTTAGACTTGGATCGGGGCGACTGCCCAAGTCGTCAGGTCGGCCCTAACCGATTGCCACCCCTAGAGAAAACTCATATTGTAGATGTTGTGGTATTGGCAAATGCAGATGAGAATTTCATGACCAACGGTGACCAGAAGCAGTTGTGGATTGGATACCCGGCATGCCCAATATCCGTCTAAGGGACTTACCCTCCTTCATCTGGACAACCAATCTTAATGATCCCATGTTACAGGTTTGTACAATCGAAAGCCCTAAAACTCTCAAGTCTTCGGCTATCATTCTCAACACATTCAAAGATTTAGATAAACATGTTCTTGATGCCATGAGAGAAAGAATCGGTCGCCCAATCTACACAATTGGCCCGGTTGCAAGCTTTAGCCAATTTGAATCCAATGACCGTTTAAAGTCGGTTTCAATGAGTCTTTGGAATGAAGAGGACACTTGTGTAGAATGGCTCAATGACAAGAAACCTAAGTCAGTTGTGTATGTGAATTTTGGCAGTGTGACAGTTGCAACACCCAATCAACTCAACGAATTCGCTTGGGGTCTTGTAAATAGCCAAAGGCCTTTCATATGGGTCATTCGTGAAGATCTCGTATTCGGAAAATCGGCAACATTAGAAAAAACATTTGTCGAAGAAACCAAAGAAAGAGGGCTAATCCTAAGTTGGTGTAACCAGATTAAAGTCTTGTCACACCCTGCAGTTGGGTGCTTCCTAACTCACAGTGGATAGAATTCGACAATTGAGAGCATTAGCAATGGTGTGCCAATGATATGTTGGCCCTTCTTTGGTGATCGTCCAACAATTTGCAGGTATGTTTGCAAGGAATGGGGCATTGGGATGGAAATAAACAATGATGTTAAGAGGGAGGAGGTGAAAACATTGGTGAGGGAGTTGATGGAAGGAGAAAAGGGTAAAGAGATGCAGTTAAAGGCCAAGAAATGGAAAGAGATCTCAAAAACTGTTGTTCAATTAGGAGGCAGCTCTTACAATAACTTAGAGGCTTATAAAGCAAGTGCTTCCAGAGAAACGCTGATCAAATCTACTTGTTCACACATATACTTGTTTAATGTATAACCAGTCATTTGCTCCTGTAGGCAGGGTTTAATTGGTTCTCTCACAGATGTTGCTGCAAGTATGTGAATAATGTTGAGGGTTAGATGCACTCTTGTGCATCTAGTCTTGGGAGTACTATTTATAAAAAGCCACATCTATTATTGTGTAATTTAATTTTGGGAAATTTACGTTAGAGTGCAGTTGGCATACGGATCCATCCGTAGGTGTAGATGTAAAGTGCACCTTCAAATTTTATCATGGTATATAATTTTGATGTAAAATGTTCTTAGAATTATTTCAAAATCTATTTTTATATCTGATTAAAAAATTTTAAATCTCAAAAATGGTTAAAATCAAGTTGATCTATAAACATATGAAAATCTTGAAAATAAATGGTGTAGATAATATGTTGTAACATATACTATTTCTGAGACAAAATCGTTCTATTTTTTTATAGTCATATATCTCGATGTCGAGATGATCAATCAAACAGTTTTTTAACATTAAAACTACATTTTCTAATGAATTTTTTAGGGACATCCGTAGTTCTACGTTATATGGTTGCATCCATCTATAAACTTTTTCCTTTACTTTAAAAAACCTCACACTTATGAAGCTTGCAAAGTTTTTTGAAAGTCCTACATCCAACTACACATATATTTCTAAATATACTGAGATTTTCACAATTTCCATATTCAAGACTTCAACCCCTCTAAAAAAACAAAAAAACACAACTCCAATCCCTAAGATAAAGTGCACCAGCGGCCCCCCTCTCTTTTTCAACTTTTCGTCTATGTCTCCCTCCCACCGCTCATCTTTATTGATGTTGTCCAATTTTTCTAAGGGTTCGTTTGGATAGTAGGAAATTAAGAATCTTAGATATTTGAAATCTTAAAGGTGTGTTAGATAGTTCCCCTCTTCAATAATTTTGAGATACTTTCTCTCTCTAAACATTTTTAAATAGTCACACTCTCTAAAATATGATATAGTTGTTCTTTCAAATTTTAAGATACTTTCTCTTTTTAAAAGTTAAAATTTGAGATAATTTCTCTCTAAAAATATTGCGATAATTTTTTTCTAAATCTTTTTATGTACTCTCTCTCTCTAAAATTTGATATAGTTATTCTCTTAAGTTATACTATACTTTCTCTCTCTAAAACTTTAAGTTTGAGATAGCTTCTCTATCCAAAAGTTTGAAATAGTTTATCCCTTAAAAATTTGATATAGTGTCTCTCTAAAATTTGAGATACTTTTTCTCTCTAAAGTTTAAAATTTGAGATACTTTCTCTTTCTAAAACTTAAATTTTGAGATAGTTTCTCTCTAAAAGATTTTGAGATAGTTTCTCTCTCTAAAAATTTCATGTGCTTTCTCAAACTAAAATATGATATAGTTTCTCTCCAAAATTTTAAAATACTTTTTCTCTCTAAAACATATATTTTGCGATAGTTTCTTTCTCCAAAAATTTTGAGATAATTTCTATCTTTAAAATTATCTAAGTAGTTTTTCTCTCTAAAATTTGATATAATTTTTATTTTTGAAATTTTAATATAGTTTCTCTTTCTAAAATTTCAAATTCGAGATAGTTTCTCTCTAAAACTCAAAATTCGAGAAATTTTGTTTATCTAAAAAATGAGATATTTCGGTCTCTAAATTTTTTTGGAAGTTTCTCTTTCTAGAATTTATAATAATTTCTCTCTAAAAGTTTACGAATACTTTCTCTCTCTAAAATTTTAAGAATACTTTCTCTCTCTAAAACTTAAGATTTGAAATAGTTTCCCTCTCTAGAAATTAAAATATGAAATTGTTTCTCTCTAAAAGTTTTGAAATAGTTTCTCTATCCAAAAAAATTCGATAGTTTATCTCTCTAAAAATTTTGTATGTACTTTCTCTCTCTAAAATATGATAGTTTCTCTCTAAAACTTAAAACTTGAGATAGTTTCTCTCCCTAAAATTTCAAGATAGTTTATCTCTCTAAAAAAATTTGTACTTTCTCTCTCTAAAATTTTAACATACTTTCTCTCTTTTAAAATTTTAACATACTTTTTCTCTTTAAAAGTTAAAATTTGAAATAGTTTCCCTCTGTAAAATTTTGAGTTAGTTCATCTCTCTAAAAAAAATTGGTACTTTCTCCCTCTAAACTTTTAACATATTTTCTCTCTCTAAAATTTTAACATACTTTATGTTTCTAAAAGTTAAAATTTGAGATAGTTTCTCTCTCTAAAATTTTGGGATAGTTCATCTCTCTAAAAAAGTTTGGTACTTTTTCTTGCTAAAATTTTAACATACGCGCTCTCTCTTTAAAAGTTAAAATTGGAGATAGTTTTTTTCTCTAAAAATGTTGAGATATTTTATCTCTTTAAAAAAATTTAGGTATTTTTTCTCTCTAAAATTATCATAACCACCAAATGCTCCCTATATTTTGGGTCTGAGGGAGCCAATGAGTGAAATCCATGGCTCCTGGAAATGCCAAAAAACATGTTTTGATGTGAAGAGAGTAGGATTGAGAGAGATAAAGAGAGGGCTTCTAGCTATCTAATAAATAATGATTTACTAGTAAGATGAGCGCCCGCAAAGGCACATACAAACCGAATATTTTTCACGTTTTAAAATTTTAGGCTACATCTACCCAGACAATAAATAACCAAAAAAAACATTTATCATGATTTACACTGCATAATTTCATGCTTCATTCACATAATTAACTTTTTATAATTAATTAGAAGAGTAGAAAAAAAGCAAAAAAGTATAATTATGGAATTCTTTCTTTTAGTGAGAGAGACACCCAATACTAGGACACCTTGTTTTTGAGAGGAAAAGATTATTTACTGATTTAACCAAAAATAAATAAAGATTATTTACCAGTAGAGAGATGGACTGGCGTCTCATCCTATTTCCTTGAGCTGAAGTAGGAAAGAAGAAGTAGTTTTTAGGTCTTTGGATTAGGTTTTGTACTGGTAACAGGACAGATGAGAAAGGAAGAGGAAGCAAAACATGAAGGAAGAGGAAGGAGGAACAGGAACAGTAGGAGATGAGATGAAACCATGAAATGAGAAAGTAAAAGTGAATTGTAAAATCCTATTCAGTATTTCCCTTTCCGTTCAAATAAAATGGCTTTATTTTTTTAATTTGAAATTCTGAAAAATATCAAAAATGTCATTGCTTAATGCCATTGGAAAGATTTCAATGGATTAATTTGCCAAGAGTAACATATTTTTTTCCAAAACATTAGATAAGTTAATGAATTATGAGTATTTTGAATTTGGCTCAAAAAATGGAGTGAAAATCAGATATATAAAGATAATAGAAGTTGAAAATAGAAATTGTAGTTATTTAAGGCTACATTAAAGACATTTTGCTATAATATTTTGTCCATACCTGGAAACGATCCTGTCCTACTTGACAAATTTTTCAAATTTTTTATCTAAGTTTTAAATGCAACAATAATCTTCTTTCATGTTCACGATAAAAAAAAGATATTATTTTATTTGGGGTGTAGAATGAAACAAAAACAACAATATAAATAGAACAATTACATTAACAAATAACAATAACTATAACCCATGGTATAGCATTATTAGTATAAAGGGAAAAATAGGACCTTCATTATAGGATTATGGTTAACTAAAACTTAAAATTTCCAAAAAAGTGAAAAAATGTTTCATCCATATGAGTGCATTGTATAACCGATGAAATAACAAAAAAATAAAAAAAGGTCAATTAATCTAACTTTTGCAGATAAAGAGGAAGTAACAAAATTATTTCTTTTACTAAAAAATTCCCAAAAGTAAACCTAATATTTAAATCACGCCCTAATTCCTAGTTACCTAAATCTTTAGTTGTGACTAAATATCTCTCTCGTTTAAATTTTTTTTTTGTAATGATTCTCATGATTTAGATAAAACAAGATTTTTTGTTGAGTTACTCTTCCACTAACTTTTGTCTATTATTTTGAGATATATTATTGTTTTCGGAAAATACTTTTTTTTAGTATTGTATTTTAGTACAATTTTTAATGGGAATATATTGATGAAATCTTTTTTTTTTTTTTGGAAATTCTTTGTTAAGTCTAGGATCTTAGTTTAATCCCACTTTTAATCTGTTTATCTCAAAAACAAAATTCAAGTATATCAAATCACTAAAGATAAGGGAAGTTTAAAGAAAATTATAGGTAAGAAGTTTTTTTATGAAAAACTTATTTTGAAAAAATAATTATGTATTTATATTGCTTCAATAAAAAGCTACATCTCTTGTGGGTCTTTTAATGAACTCAAAGTCTTTAATAGATTTCAAAAAAACCAAAAGTTTTTTTTCTAAAAGATCTTCTTTCGTTCAAAGGCTTGCTAAGTATGAATATACCAGTTGATAGTAGTAGAATAGAGTTGGGCAAAAGAGATTATTTGAAATTAAAAATTTGTTGGTACTGTGTTTAAGAATACTCTGAATACTCATTTTACATATGGAATCACTATATACATGGTAATTTATTATAATACTAAGCCATTTATAGTTAAAAAAAAAAAAAAAACATCTCAGAGCAGGGTTCTCTGGAAAACTTTACTGAATTCCCACTCGTTACTTCCTTGGGGAATGTCCTCATGAGAAACCTTTATGCATAGTGTCAACGATACATAAATCATGTAAAACTGGTTTTAGCCTTTAATTTGAATAGACAGATTTGACAGCTTCAACCAAAGCGTCCAATATAATTTTTGACTCAAAAACTTTTTTTTGTAGTAAAATCATTTTTCCTGTGAGATTTTCGCATACAAGGGCACCACACATTTTTTTTATAGATCCAAAAAGTGTGCTATTGAATATAATTGTTTTCCAATGGTGAGATAAGTTAGAATATATCCGGTATGCACCTACTCCACGTTGGATGAAGGTGAAAGGATATTGTCTCATTCTATAAATGGGACATGAATTTCACTTTTTGCTAAGTTTTTAATGAACTTCCTCTCTAGAAAAGAGTTCACTATAGTACTCTAGATCTTGTTATACTTAATATATTTGTATATGTAATATAGTATTTCATTCTTCTATTTCCTTATATCTGGAAAACAAATTTGCCTCTAGAATTTACTATCATTATTTTGTTATGCTGGTCCGTGTAGTGTAATAACTGCTACTCCTGTTGAATTGGAGGGATTGTTATCAGGGTTAAGGATTTGGATGGAGAAACAAATGGGAGATCTTTGATTATTGAAGGGGATTCTCTTAATGATATTAACTGGTATTCTGTTATCTCTAAACCTCCTTTGCGGTTAAGGTTATGGTTGAAGGTTATGGCGATTAACTGTTATCTCTATGGTTGAAGGTTATGGATTTTCTCTCTTCTCGGGTGGTTACTTTCCAATATGTTTTAAAAGAAACAAACAAGGTTGTAGATGGCTTGGCTAAGCAAGGAGTGTCTTAATTCTCTAGTTAGTTCTTCTGATTGGCTGTAACTGTTGTGTTGTTCTCTTATTTCTTCTAATAAAAGTTACATGTTCTTGTCACAAAATAAATAAAAAAAAAAAACTTACTATCAGGAAGCGACATATATTACTTTGTTTTAGCGAATGTTTTTGGGTGAGTCACTCAGGGGTGACAATTGACCCGACCCAACCATGAGCATTTGTTTAAAACTCAATTTTTTTATCTGTTATTCTCATGTGAGAGAGCCACGTCGTAGCCATCTAACATTTATTGCCGCCCAACATGAGGGCTTTTGTTAAAGGGAAAAGTTTATATAGAGCCGAAGCTCTAAACAATCAAATTTGATCCTACTCTAAAAATTTCACTAGAAGAGGTTGTTTTGACCTCCAAATATCTTCAAATGGACCATCTCGACATCAAAATGCACGGACATGAGAAAAAAATGGATTTCAAGCTTTAGAAATAGTGTATTTTGTAACGCATTTTGGACCGTCAATTTGTAAGATTTTCAAGTTTTCATTGATATGTCAATCTATCCTATTTTTTAATCTTTATAAATTAATATAAAAAATATTTTAAGGCTATCACAAAGATTTCCAATATGAAATTTCTCGACACTATTTGAATGTAGGCTGTAATTTGATTGTTTAGAGCCTAGGCTCTATACAAACTGCACCCTTTGTTAAATGATATAATAACTGGGAAAGTATAGAATGAGATCATTTATTACCTTTTATACAAGGTGGTCATAATAATCTTGACTATTAGATGTAAAGTTGGGTGGCTGCAATTATTCGATTGATCAATCTCAAACTTCACAAGAAATTTGTTCGAACTTTGTGATATATCTAAAGTATCATATTTCACAGCAAATGGTTGTAAGTAATTGTGACTACCTTGTATAAAAGGTAAATGGTCCATTATACACAATCCCGTAACTTATATACAACGTCTTAAAGATATGGGTTAAATGTCACTTAGATTTGCAGGGAATTCGTTGAACGTATAAAGAAATTATTTACTATTTATTGATATTATTCAAAGGTTTTGCAATAAATATAAAAAATTGGAGACATTTACATTAACAAATAGGGCATAACTCCCATAAACGGGCGCCTTATAGACCCATCCAAATGCACAATCCAAGTGGTGGTCATAATTTATCATATGAACAGCATGAGCTTGACACAGTGTATCAGGATGGTTCCATAATCAAAGATGTAAGTTTTTGAATTCCAAGAAAAATTAAGGGCAGGATTCGTCATCTCAGCGCTAGTTTGGTTTGTATGAAAACTTGCGTCATAAAATATTTTTCATATGAAACATACGTTTATAGGCACAATTGGTTCGTCCGTAAAACTGATGAAAACTTGTCTGAGCTCCTACAAGAAGCAAATCGTGTAAAAAGAAATCCCCACCGCACAAAGTGGGGAGTAAGTTCCCTGGGATCAATTGCTCATGTGGGCCCGAAAAAAATATTTCATTCGAGTTTACGGGTTGAAAGTTTAAACCACAAAAAATTAAAAAAATAAAATCTCTCTCTCTCCCTGCCATTAAAAAAAAAATATTGCCTCAAGATTGTAAAGAGACTGTCCAATTCTTAGAGGGTAAGATCTATGTATTGAAAAACTCAAATTTTAAATTTTGAAAATAATCGTCTAATCATAATTAGTTGATCTCAAAAATTTCAAATTGAAAAGATCCTCCTAAGTAGGTCTTTTTACCAAAAGAATAAACTTATATTATACTCCAGCAGGAGTATCTCTCCATTTTTATTCAACCACTATGTATTTAAGGAGTGTGTGGAGTTCATCACCTGTTATTGCGGAACAAGAGGGCAATTTAAGAAGAGAAAAAAAAAAACGCTGGGGAGGGTTGCTCTTGGTAAACGTTTTTATAAATAACATCAAACGATAATAAAAGAATACAAAAGTTGTCCGTATGTTGTTAAAAAAAAAAGAAACTGTATTTTCAATTGTTGTAGTCAGGTCCCATGGGTCGGATGGCAATTGGGGAGGCTTGGGTGGGGCCAGCCTTGGCCTCGGCCTGGCCCTTATTGCCGTAGGGCTGGGCGGGGCCACAAATGAAGAAAAATAGAAGTAAAAACAGGAAAAAAAGGATGGTGGAGCTGGGCCAAATCAAGCCGGCACTGGATCCTAGTCCAGCCCTTGGGCCACAGTTTGTGGCCCAAGCCCCACTTTTTATAAGTTGAAGGTAAGGCCATGGCACAAGACAGAGCAATAGATATATCCCATTGCTAGAGAGAGTGGGCGAGAGGAAGTATGGGTTCTAAAAGTGCAGAGAAACCTCATGCCCTGTGCATTCCATATCCAGCACAAGGCCACATTAACCCCATGATGCACCTTGCTAAGCTTCTCCATGCTAGAGGCTTTTACATAACTTTTGTCAACACTGAATTTAACCATGAGCGTGTTACTAGTTCAGGAGGAGCCATCGAATTGAAGCATTTAGAGGATTTTAACTTGGAATCGATCCCTGATGGCTTGCCACCCGACGATTGCCGGACCCAAGAAAGCCTTTTCGATGCAACAACGAAGTATTTCTTGAGTCCTTTCAAGGATCTGGTTTCAAACTCAATGGCTCCATGGAAGTCCCTCGGCTTACATGCATAATTTCGGATGGCCTTCTGAACTTTACACAGTAAGTTGTAGAAGAGAATGGGATCCCAAGGATTTCTCTGTGGACGACGAGTACTTGTGGTTACTGGGGATTCTTGCAGTACTCGGAGATCATCGAAAGAGGAATCCTGCCTTTCAAAGGTCTGTCTCTCTCCCTACCTCATACAAATACACAGCTTTCTCTATCTCAAACACTTATTACTTGGTTCGTAGTTCAAAGAAAAGCACTTGAAAACGTTTACCCAATAAACAGCAACTGTAAATAGGCAATCTCTATGTGCGTGTGGGCACGCATACGTCCAAGAGAGACAGAGAGAAAGAGGGGAAAGGCGAGATGTCTAAATCTGCAACCATCGAAGCAAAAACTAGACTGAATAAAGGCACCTTCTCTCTCTCTCTCATATTTCTTTTCCATTGTTGCCTAGTTCACCAGAGAGAAAGATAAAACTGTTGCCTCCTTATACACGTTTTCACACCCTGTGACGAAAATTCACAGGGTTTCGGCACACACATGGGTTTGGTAATTTTTTTGAATTTTTTGGGTGAATTATGGGAACTAGGGGCATTAAAAACTAGGATAATTGGGTTTAATTGTATTAAATAAATTTTGGACACTCATATATCTTTGTTTTGTACGTGGAGCATTTTTTTAGTAAGGATATTTTTAGTCATTAAGAGTGGTGTGAATGATCCACATGGGATGTCTGATCACCCTTCATCATGCCACATCCTATATGGAAGATGTTACACCCATCCTAATAACAAAAAATACTCTTAATAAAAAAATGATCCATATAGAAAACAGTGATGTATAAGCTACTAGCTATAATGAATAGTATAAGCTACTAACTCCCAGCCGTCAGATCTTCATCGGGTGGTTCAAAATTCATATCACTATCTAAATATTTTTCTAAAAATTAGATCGTAATGAAATTTTGGACGTGTGTACTAAAAAATAGGACACATAATAAAAAAGTATATAAAACATATTTCCTAAAATACAAAATGACCGAAATACACCTGAAAATGATGGGGCTGATTTGGTCCTTTTAAATTATTGAAATTAAGTTTTCAATATTTTTATATGGCGCAATAGTGTTAGGTATATACACCTAAAATTTCATCTTAATTTGCTTTATAGAAAAAATATTAAAATTACAATACTAATATAAATTTTGAACCACGCAATGAAAGATATGACGTCGTCCCTTCACATACTATATTTCAGTGAGTAGATCCAAATACATATCACTAGTTTGGCACAAGCTTTCTAGCTTTGCCCATAAATCCACCATCGCCCTTTCAGCTACTATACTAAATGGAATTTCATTCGCTAAGCATAAGCGAATTGTGGGTAGCGCCTTCGTATGTTTTTCTTCCCAATCATAATCCTTCATTTTTTGTTTTTTTTCTTGGATATTTTTTGTAGTGTTTTGTAAAAGCCTTGTTGTACCCATATATCATGAACTTTTATTTTCCAATGTTCAAAATCATTCCTTCCATCGGACTTCTCTACTTCAAATTAGTAAGTTGCCATTTTTCAAAAATTATTACACACTTTCCTTGAGCTATGATACCACTTATTAGGAACCAAACCTATCTCGATTACCCCCTTGTTATGGTGAACCCCTTACTACACCAAATCTAGTACCTCAAAATTAACTCACCCTTCACTTGCAAATTTATTCTAAGAAATCCAATACCCAATAATCAAATATATGGTGCAATGAATTTGGTCAAAATATGATAAAATCAAGAGAAACAAAAATATGAACTCTAATGGCACAACCACACATTACAAACCATAATCAAAGTACCATAAACACATAATATACATACCTCACCCAAAATCAGGCTACTTCCATGGGCAACCGACAAGGAAATAATTTACTAGAAGAAATTTACAACTTTATGGGTTCTGCAGTGATTACCTCATACATTGGTAAAAAAAGCTCAAATTGATTTTCCTACCATAATAACACTACCAATCGACTCCTTTTGTCTCAGTCAACTAACACCATTACTGCAAGAAAATCCTAATAAAATCCGGCCCAATACAAGGCCACAATAGTTCTAAGGGTTGTGCAAGAATCCCCTGATGTCCACCTACCAAAACATATGTACATTTTTCTTATGTTTTCTCCCCCTAAAATTCGTTGTTATAGGCCTCCATTAAAGTTCATTTTTCTACCCCTCCCGAAAGAGGGAATGTCATATGGAAGTTATTTTTGCAACACATACCAACAAGCACATATTTTTTATTTGAGGAAAACGGTTTTATAAAGTCGACGCTCTAAACGATCAAATTGAGCGTTCCTCAAAAATTCACTAGAAGAAGATGTTTTGATGCCGAAAACCACTCAAATACGATCGTCTCAACCTCGAGACACAAAAGAACAAAAAAAAAAACAGAACTTCAAGTCTCGAAAATAGTGCTTATTGTAATGCATTTTATAAACTTACAATTTTCAAGTGTTTGTAGTTCTACTTGATCTATATTATTTTTTATGCCTTAAAATTTATAATTAGAGATTAAAATTAATTTCAGGCCACATATTTTTTTTTATGCGAAAATGACATCTTTCAACAATATTTGATTTTGCACCCCTCTTTGATTAGGGCGTCAGCCTTATAAATACACACCCTTTATATGAAGCAATAATTTATTAACGACACGAAGTTTAGTGAAATTTTGAAAGTGCCTCAACATGGTTTACTTGTACAAAAAATTTAACTACGCTATGTTGTCGATGCACGATAATGTAGGACGCCCCGATCAAATTTGTGTTCTATAAAATGAGCAAAATTTTAGATTATGAATATGAATTGACACTCCGGATAGCTTCACTCATAATGCCATATGTTATATAGCTTTTGAGCGGCTAATCTTGATTTTACAGTTCAGAATTTTTTATTTCCATTTATCTTTTACAAATAATTTTGAGATTGAATCTGTGGCATCCCTTCCTTCCCTTGATGCACCGAATAAAAAGAGGGAAACAGTGTTTCTTTCAAGAACAAGAGCTCACAATACCCTTGTAACGATTACAGATATTTTGGTTATTTATGTTGTCATAAATATTTATTTATTTCTTTATTGGGTGCACCTTTGAAATGAGTAGTTGCCCCAATTCTGATATTTCAATGATTTGTCAATTATAAAAAAAAAATACTAGGCCATACGAGATGGAAGTTATCATCTATATAAAAAAAAAAATACTCGGCCATACGAGATGGAAGTTATCATCTAGATTGGATTACGGAGACATCAATGATATATGGCTATATGTAGGCGGGCGGCGCTGATGTAAATGATTCATGATTAAAACAGTAAAACTTCAAAAGTAATTAACAAGAACCAATCTAAAATTTTGTTTAGAAAAACATAGATAATATGATATATATTACAATGAGTGATTACATAACATTAATGGTGGAGGCTTTTGGGAGGCATCTTGTCCTTATACCGAGGGACTGTTGTAGGAGCCCCATTGCTTTTTTAACCTAAAAAACCAAGGGCAAATTACTAATAACTTTAAGACTAGACTTTTTATGCAAGTTATCTCAACTAAATTTTTTTTCACTTTTTTCTCTAAAATACACTTTTATAGCAAATACCTCGAGTTAAAAAAATACATTTTTTGATCAAAATACCTTTTTTTTGTACATAAAAATTTAATTTTGGCAAGACATTCACGTGGGCTTACATAAGTTGCCGGACTGCTCTTTGATATTGCCGAATGCTGTTAAACTAAAAAAAGTTCCGAACCGCTCTTTGACATTGCCGGATCGCACTTTGGGCATGCTGCTGGACTACATGGGCCTGTTGCTGGACCGTCTGGGCCTGTTGCTGGACCGCATTGGCCTATTGCTGAGACGCTTTTTGGCAGTGCCGGACCGCATGGGCCTATTGCAGAACTATTCTTTTTTAGTGTTGGACCGCTACTTGTATTGCCAGAGCACCACTGTTGTTTATTGGACCGACATTACACTACTGGACTGCCTTTCCATCGGAAAGAGAAGAGAGAGGTATGGCTAAAAATAAGGAAAGGTAGTTTAGACTTTTTTTCTTTCGGGTTGGGGGGCATTTGCTAAGAAAGTATATTTTGGGATAAAAAGTGAGAAAGATAGTTTGGTCGGGGGTAACGTGCATAAAAAGTCTAGTCTTGGGGTTCTATGTAATTTTCCAAAAAAACAATGCTTTTTGGGCGGTGCGGATGAACCTCAAATTTTGAAGAACTCTAGATTTATTTGTAATAAAAAACTATATGAATGTATAGTATTAAATAAAGGATACGGTTTCTATGTGGCTGGCTTGCATAATGTAGAATTGTGGGCTCAGCATTAAATATAATTTGATCCTAATTTTTAGAGAATATATAATTTTAATATGGAGATCATGAATAATAATAAAAAAAAAAATCGCATAGTATAAATAATAACTATATTAGAAAAACATTTTGACTGTTAGTTACACTTGTGTTTAGATGGACCACCTATATGCATCCATCTTTAATATGGATGCTTCATATATTTGGATCGCATATTGTAGAAATGAGATCCAACCCACATGAAACAATTTTTCTTAAATAAATCATTGACAGTGACTGACAACTAGAAAGATTTTGAAGCTTCTCAATTTGGATTGGCAAATTTTAATATTGGGGATTTTTTTACCAATGCTTTTTGGATAACTTTTCCACGTTGTTTCATTTTTGAATGGTTTTTAAAGAGGTAGCTTTAGGAATTGGGCTTGGGGTAAGGTGTTTGTAGCTGGTTTACATGGCATTATATCTCAAGTTTCATTCGTATGTAATTTTGTAAAAATAAAAATAAAATAAAAAAACAAAAAATAATAATACCAATAATTATAATACTAATTATTATTATTATTAATAAGCTTGAGCCTGGTGATAAACTTGGTTGGTTCACATTCCATAATGAACAACTATACATTTTTTGTATTTCTAGAAATTCGAAAACCTTATCATAGCTGTCTAGAGCTTACAACTCGTGGTGCGTGAATTCACCATTGGTAGTGCCCTAGACCGCCACCTAGAGTGTCAAATGCAATATTCAAGCATAAAACTAAAATCCAAACTGCGGATAAATATTTCAAAATTGCTTATGGTGATTTCGTAGAAGTAAAATTCAGATGAAGCACATTTTTGTATCAAAATTTAATCTTTTTGAATTCCAAGAAAAAATTAGGGCAGGATTCGTCGTCTTAGTGTCAAAAAATTTCTGAAAATCTTAGGGTAAGATCTAGTCAATGCCGAAGGAAAACAAATGCCTGGGATCGAAAGAGGGGTTTGAGTCCTGCGTGGGTAGGGTCTAGGTCTACAAGTATGGACTTAAAAGTCGAGTCCGCATCTGGCCAAGACTTAAGAGTCGAGTCCGGATCTAACTTGGGCCGACCTGAACTATTATTTTTATATATAAATCCATGTTTGATATTACATTGTTTTAATGTTATTTTTAGGTCGGACCTGGAACCTAAAGAGCCCATCAGGTTTGAGTCCGAGTCCGACTGACCTAGACTGAACCAAGTGTGGTGAGACCGGAGAGGGTTTGGGTCATGTCCGAGTCTGGAACTTAGACTTCACTAGTTTGAGCCGCCCGGGCCCAAACTGAACCGTTTACACCCCAACGTAATGTATGTGTCCAATATTAAAAGGGCAGATGGTGGGGAAGATGTTTTTCTCATGTTCTCTCTTAACAATTCCCATGGGCATTAGGTGTAAGGAATGTGTTGTACAGTTTGTCCTGCATATGTGAATTTCTTGCAGTCACATGGGAATATCTCTAATGAGGTGCCCAAGGCTTTGTGGCCCCATATAGAAAACAAGCTATTTAAGTGGCCTCATGGCAAAGCGGCATGAAGAAAGACCATGTAATGCATCTACAGATTTTGCAATGTCCAAATACCTAGTTTCCACGATCGCCCAGCTCCGTAGCTGCTGTCCATGCTCCTGGTGTGCATCTGCCGTAGGGGATGCAATCCCTCCTACATGGGATCGTGATCCCACTGAAAGTGGGATCCTGAGCTTGTTCCTACTCTAAGGGGATAGCAATTTGAAAGCAACATGTTGAAAAAATCTCTCTCTTATCTATGAAGCACTGTATCTGCATGTTACAGCTTGAATTTTGTAGGAAATCTGTCACATAAGTGTGTGTCTATATACACTAGTAAGATGCAATATGCTAGTAAGATGCACCTGCTTTGCGGGTCCTATCAGAAGGGTTATGTAAATAATATAACAAACAAATTGGCAAATGAGAATTGACTATGTCTCTCTTTATAGCATATTAGACCTATCCTTAGCCAAATCAATAAATGTTGCATGTTACTTAAACATATCAAATAAAATATGATACATCAAATAACCTGAGAGAATATTATTGAGATCAGAATTTTAACTATACTTAGTAATCTTAGAATAAACTAGTTAATTTATACAATTGTTGTTGTTGTCATCATCATCATAGGTTCAGGATTCCTAATATAATTGTTATTGTTATAATCAATGTAATATGCATCATCATCATCATCATTATCAAATTACAAATTTTAGTCTTGTAATATATTCATAATATTTATGATTCAAATATATGTATATATATTTATAATATTTAATTAGGATTGTTCTTATTTTTGTAAGTCCTATAATATTCATTAGACTATTACAGCTATGTTAGTGTGGAGTGACAACGAAATTGAAGGTGTACTATCAAACTAAACTATCACATTGTGGGTGTTGTAATATTTAATTCTTAAAGGGATACTTATCACATGGCTAATTTATGTTTCATTATTAAATTTAGTTCGGTTTTCTCCTTCGCATCGATTTAGCCAAAAGATGAAAACAGTAATAAAAAGACTAGAATGGCTGCAAAAAAAACAAGGGCATCTTCTACACATCTGACAAAACAACGTGGAGAGAGAGGGGGCATAGACAGAGAACAATCTTTTGGGTTCCTGTCAGCACTAAGCCCAAGTTCTGATTCGGATATAAGTTAGACCTCCTCAGGTCTCACCACACCCGCTCCAGGCTTGATTAATGAGACTCAAACTCAACCTGTTGGGTTTGGCTCATAGTCTAGGGCCAGCTTTTTATGCTTCTCCTATAGCATAAAACTTATATATTTTCCCTTATCCAACTGTCCAATCTGAACGGAGGGTTAAGATTGCCCCAATCACAATGTCATGCCTCTATACGATTTTATTTTTATTTTTTTTTTACAAATGAGAGTATTTGGTGGCTTCCTAACTCACAATGGATGGAATTCTACAATTGAGAGCATTCAGTGGGCTGCCGATGATGTGTTGGCCCTTTTTTTGCTGATCAACAAACAAATTGGTGGTAAGTTTGTAAGGAATTGGGCATTGGTATGGAGATAAACAATGATGTTAAGAAGGAGGATGTGGAAGAATTGGTGAGGGAATTGATGGGAGGAGAGAAGGGTAAAGAGATGCAGTTAAACGGCAAGAAATTGAAGGAGAGCTCAAAAAGTGCTCTTCAATTTGAAGTTAGCTCTTATAACAACTTAGAGAGGTAAATAAGGGGAGTACTTCTAAAGAAACACTAATCAGATCTACATGTTCTCACAAATTTTACTGGAATGATTTTAGAAGCTTTTATAAGAATTCATCCTCCTGTAAATTGCATGGAAGTGTGAGATTTGTTTGTGCTTGTATCGGTGAGTCCGTGCGGTAAAAATAATGTGTAACGTTTATTTGGAGCTTACAAAGACGTTGCTGCATATATGTAAGTAATTTAGAGAATTAGAAACACTTTGGCCATATTGCCTTCAAACTACTAAACATGAAAAGTCTTCATTCTCATGTTACATTGATACTTTGAGAGATGTTAGGTATGTTTTAGAAAACACAACACAAATATTTAGATTTTTAGAAATCTGAATAAAGACTTTGCCTTGCTTTTTTTTATATCTAGATTTTATATTATTTTGATATCTCTTTCTTTTCATTTTCTTTTTTTTTTTTCTTTTTATTTTTTATTTTTTATTTTTATTTTTTTTGGCATATTTGACTGTCCATGTAAACTAAGATTTTAATGTAATTATTTTATTTTTATTTTTTTTATGACAGAAAGTTAACTTAATTATTCATTTATTTTATACGATAATTCTCCATTTATTTTCTAGTTTTCATGCCCATCATCCAATTGAAAAAAAGGAAAATAGGGAGGGAGCCTCTACTAGCAAGAGAGGTTCTCTATTCAGCATATAAGGCAGGTGGGTCACAATCTTGAAGATTCGGGCTATCTTTACATTTTTGTAGAGAGAGAAAGAATTCAAGATATCACTACATAAGAGGCATTTTTTGTAGTTGTTAAATTTGTTGTGCTCTTCTAAACCTGACCGGCTGATTTTTGGTAAATAAAATATGAGAAATAAATCATAAAACATATAACATAAGAATACAAATATTTACGTAGTTCACCTCAAAAGGGCTACATCTACGAGCACGACAAACAGAAATCCACTATACTAATGAAAGTTACATAAAAGATTTTGAAACAAATCTCGACAAAAATCTCAAGTCGAGAAAACCCTTTTAACGAAGAGAGGAGAGGAACGAAAGGTAGTCCCACTAGGGGAAGGGTTTAAAAGGAACAAGCAGCTTCGGGGAAGGGGAACGAGGGTTAATGGCAGGAGAAGAGGAACAAGAGGCAGAGGGTGGAATAGGTCGGAGGACAAATGGAGGCAAAAGAGACCGGAAAGAATGAGCAAAAGTCTCCGCCTCTTTAGAAGTTTCGAAAGAAGGAGACAAAAAAGAAAGGTCAGGAAACCCTGACTAAAATTGATGAGTACCAACACAAACTTCAACAAAATGGGCAAAATCAAAGGAAAAAATTAGCTTCCCCTTATCCTTAGAATTGGCCAAAAGCCCAAAAAATATTCTAAAAAATAGGGGCCAGTTGGCCTCCATCTTTTTTTAAGGAGTTTTGAAATTGAGGAGGAAGAATTGGCAGACGAGGATCCTGAAGATCAGTTCAAAAAGGTAATTGACTTGCCATGTTCCTTGCCTGATCTAGGAGCAGTAGCAGGAAACCCTCGTTTCACCAGTGAAGGAGCATCCCAAGCTGGTTTAACAAGGCTAGAGCAATCAGGGCGCTGATTTAGAGGTAAAGAAGGGGCGCTGATTTAGAGGAGCAGGGCGCTGATTTAGAGGTATAGAAGGGGCCTTAAGCAAATCAGAACCTTCAACAGTTGCATCAATAATTAAATGATCAGAACGAATGGAAAGGATAATTTTCGGAGGAAGTTTGAGTAGGGCAGCTCTAAAAATATTGACATGGACAAAAGAGAGGTTGGGCCTAACCATTGAATCCCTGTCAACGTCTATAAAGACACCAACAGAATTATCAAGATAATGAAAGACCCCCATGTTCCAGGCATGAAGAGGATTTCCCCAAAAACGGATCCAAATTGAGATTTTAAGAGGCAAAGAGGCATGGACACTAGGTTTCCAAGGATCAATTGATTGAAGTTTATATCAGATATACCAATGTTTGCAAAAACCAAGAACGTGGCGAGCATCATCAGCAAAGGAAAGCAAAAACGCACTTCTATTATCACCGAAGAAACGAACCACCGAGGGATAAAGAAGATTCCAGGCCCGCTTGGCTCAGTTGCTAAGGCCCCAGGTTTCAGAGGAGGAAAGGGAGAAGGATCCCACAATAATAAGAGAAGTCGCCTTACGAGATTCGAAAAGCAAGGAAGGATCAAGAGATACAAGAGCAGTAGCATTGTCCATGGGGGACATTACCATCTCTAATTTTCTCACATTCTTTCCCTATTCTTCAAACGTGAGGAGAGGATCAAATTTGGTGGAGCCATTCTAGTCGCAAAATTCCGCTTAAACCAAACATATCACCTGGTACTCCGGTACTTGTATTTCTACTGTCCAGATATCAAAATTGGATGTATCCGGTTTTCTTCCTCCTTCGAGTCACCAAACGCCATCTAAGTGGGGGAGAAATGACTATAACATAAATAAAAAAGTTCAAATAAGGTTGCAACCTCAAATTGTAGAATTACAGATGCACCTAAAAAATCCAGTGAAAAAAGTTGTTTTAATATTGGAAAAACCTCTAATTGATCTTCTTGATGTATATCAATATGTATGTATATAAAAAAAATAAGATTTTGAGTCCCAGAAATAATGCATCATGCACATAGATTTTGAGGTGATCCTAAGAATTATTTTTGCCAACATTATTGCATTTTGTAATACATTATTTAAACAGTCCGTTTTCAAGATTTTCCTAGGTTTATAGATTTACTTCATTCAAACCATTTTTGGAGTTTAAAATTTTATAATTAGATATGAAAATAGATTTTGAGATAATCCTAGGAATTTTTTTTACCAAAATTATATGTTATGATAAAATTTGGAGGTGCGCCTTAATTGGATTGTTTAAAGTTGCAATCTTATAGAAATCACACCCTAACATAAAACCTTAACTCCATTATATTTAGCAAGGCTCTTCATAACTTTTAAATATCTCTGAAATAAACAAGGTTGAAAAAACGATAACATTATTAAGTATGCAGGGAGAAATAATAACAGAAAAATAAAAATAAAAAGGATTTTGATATCAAACTCTTTACTCAATCATCAATGTCTGTAAGGAGTTTACTACAGGATCTTTTATCAAGATCAAACTCTTTACTCAATCACCAATAATCTTTGTTCATAAACAAGGACATAAAAAATAAATAAATTAAGAATCTCTATTTATAGAAAAAGGACATCTTCCCTTTACATAAACTTTCAAAAAACTAAATAAATAAAAATCTACAAATAAAAATAACTTTATCTTTCTTTTTCGCTCTCCCTCTACTCACATGAATATATATTTCTCATCTCTACCAAATAATATATATAGGAAATAATCAACTTAGCTTCTTCTTATCATTACCCACCTTCTCCTCCCATATCTCTAACAATAGGATAACTTTCTCAAAAACAAAAGAAGTAACCTAAAATTCTAAATTAAATACCCTTTATACCTCTAAAGTCTCTACAACAAAAAAAAATACAAAAATAACCCTAAAAAAAATAAAACTAAACCTAAATCTAAAAATCCAACAATAGTAAAATTAAGTAAAATAAAAATTAAATAACCCATTGCATCACATTAGAATAAAATATTAATTTTTTGGGTAAATAAATAAAATATTAGTGGGGTAAAGAAAAAAGAGTGATACGTCCAATTGACTTGGCTGAATATTATTCCCGACTCTCGCCGCCATCCATTTGTCAATCCTCCAAACACTTAAAACAAGGAGTCTTAAAGTAATGCAGTGATTGCAACACTTTGGGTTTGCACTAATTTGATTATTATTGTCGTTATTTTCATTTATTTTAGTCTGTCCGTAGGGGGTGGCAGGACCCGCCCTCGGCGTGGCCTGCCGTACAAGTTACTAACAAATAAAAATAGAAATAAAACCAAGAAAAAGAGAGAAAAAGATGGCCAAGTCGTGCCAAATCGAGCTGCCACTGGCCCTAGCCCTAGGCCTAACCCGGTCATCAAAAAAGGGCCACAATTTGTGGTCCAAGCCCCACTTTTTTTAAGGGTCGGGTCGTCCGGCCTATATCTAGGCCCACCCAAGGGGTGCTAGATGTCCCTAGGTCCCTCTCTCTCTATAAATTGAAGATAAGGCACTGGCACAAGACTGAGCAATAGATGTATCTCATTGCTATAGAGAGAGAGGGGGGAAGTATGGGTTCTACAAGTTCCGAAATACTTCATGCCCTGTGTATCCCTTATCCAGCACAGGGCCACATTAACCCGATGATGCACCTTGCTAAGCTTCTTCATGCTAGAGGCTTTTACATTACTTTTGTGAACACTGAATCTGACCATGAGCGAGTGACTATACCAGGAGGAGCCCTGGAATTGAAACATTTAGAGGATTTTAACTTGGAATCGATTCCTTATGGATTGCATGGCGGGACCACAGATCCTGCAAGCCTTCTCACAGCAACAATGAAGAATTTCTTAGAGTCCTTTCAAGGATTTGGCTTCGAAACTCAATGGCTCCATAGAAATCCCTCGGCTTACTTGCACAATTTCGGATAGCCTTCTCAACTTTACCCAGCAGGTTGCAGAAGAGCATGGGATCCCATGGATTTCTATGTGCATGATGAGTACTTGTGCTTACTGGGGATTCTTGCAGTGCCCGGAGATCATCGAAAGAGGAATCCTGCCTTTCAAAGCTCAATCCTTCTCTCTTCCTCATACACGTACACAACACTCTCTATTTCTAACACTTATTACTCGGTTCTCAGTTTAAAGAAAAGCACTTGTGAACGTTTAGCCAAAACAGCAACTGTAAGTAGGCAATCTCTGTGTGTGTGAACGAATGAGAGAGAGAGAATCTCAATCTAGGCGCCCACTTTTCTCTCTTTCTCATATTTCTCCTTTCTTTCCATTCTTGTGCATTCACTACAAGGGAAAAGATAAAACTGTAGCCTCTTTTTACAAGTCTTTTGAATCCCCTCCGAATTAGGAAAGTATTGATTAGGGATTGGTGTTTTTGTTTTTATTTAGTTATTTATTTTGGGTGAATCAGGGATGAGAGACCCTACCGATTTTATTGAAAAATCATAAAACCTAGATGGGTTTTTATTCTTACACACACAACTGCATTCTCTCTCTTAAACTATTTGCAAAAGCCGGTAACAGCCTTTCATCCCATCCAATTATCCAAAAAAATAAAACTGCCATATGGATTTATAATACAACAAGAAATTGTTTGGACATCCCTACAGCCCCATCTCGATCTTATCTTTCCCAGCTTTTATGAGTAATCATGATAAATAGTCCCCTGTTGTTGCGTCTAAATTCTTGAAATAATTAACTATATTTTTCAGTAGCAGAAACAGTGGTATTTTTCAATGTCGGAAAGAACGATTTGGGCCTACCTCGAAGTTTGAGTATCGCGACCCGAGTTGGGGGATGTTTGGTTCATATGCCCATGCCAAAAAAAAAGTTGGGGGTTGTTTGGGTTCATATGAAATTAATCCCAAATATTTTTTTTCATTCGGATACAGAGATTACACATGTTTGGTTCGTACTTATAAATATGTGAAAATGTATTCCATGTGTAAGTTGTTTACTATAAAATAATCGGTTTCATATGAAAAGAAGTCCCTACCTCATGAGGTGGGGAGAAAATTACATGGTGTTCCCATGGGCTACTAATTAAAATGATAAAAGTCAAATCATGATTTGATACGTCAAAAATGCATGAACTTCCTCAAGCCCCAGTTTCTCTCCTACCCAAACCAATCTCTCTCCAACCCTTGTCCAGGTCTAAAAATTTTTAGTTTGAGAACCTATATTAAATTTTAAGTTTTAAAGAGGGAAATCATATCAAAATTTTAGAGAGAGATACAATCATATATTTTTTTCGAGAGAAAAACTGTCATGAATTTTATGATTTAATGAAAAAAATTGTCCAAAATTTTTTAAACACAAAGTATATCAAATTTTAAGTTTTAGAGGGAGAAACCATTGTAAAATTCTAAAAGAGAGAAACTATGTCCAAGTTTTTACAGAGAAGCTATCCTTAGTTTTAATTTTTAGAGAGATAAACTTTCTCAAATGTTTCAATAGAAATTACCTCAAGTTTTAATTTTTAGATAAATTATCAAAAAAATTTAAAAAGAGAAATTATATCAAATTTCAAATTTAGTAAGAGAAACTACCTCAAAACTTTAGAAAGAAACTATCTTAAAACTTTTAAAGAGAGAAACAATCTCAGAGATTTTTGAGAGATAAGATATCTCAAGCTTCTAGTTTTTAGAGAGATAAAATATCTTAGAAATTTTAGAACAAATCAATATGACATTTTAAGTTTTAGCGAGAGCATCTCAAAAATTTTAGAGAGAGAAAATATATCAAATATCTAGTTTTAGAGAGAGAACCCATCTCAAAAGTTTTAGAGAGAAAATATTTTAAATTGATTTGACAAAAAAACTATATCAAAGTGTTTGGAAAGGGAAACTATTTTTTTTCGAGAGTGAAATTATGTCAAAATATTTGATGAGAGAAAGTTTGCTAAGTTTTAGGAATTGAAAAGAGAAACTATCTTAGAATTTTTAAAGACAAACTGTATAGAATTTCAAGTTTTAGATAAAGAAACTATCTACAATTTTTAGAGAGAGTAATTATATTAAAAGTTTAAGAGAGAGAAAATTTCTCAAATTTCAAATTTTCAAGCAGAGAGACTTTCTCAAATTGTTTAGAGGAAAACTATTTCAAATTTTTTGAGTGAAGCTATCGCAAATGTTAAATTTAAGAGTGAGAAACTATCTCAAAATCTTTAAAGAGAGAAATAAACTGAAAAGGTTTATAAAGAGAAACTATCTCTTACTTTTAAGACAGAGAAGCCGTTTCGAATTTAAAATATTTGGAGTGAGAATCTATCTCAAAATTTTTTTTAAGAGATATATTATCTCAATTTTATGTTTTAGAGGGAAACTACCTTGAAAAGTATTTGGGAAGCATGACTGAGAAGTATAGTCTAGAATGATATCTATAATTTTCTCTTATTATTTTTCTAATAAATTCCGTGAAATATGAATAATTGATTATATTTTAATAAATCTAAGCATCCATGTGATATTTTTTTTGATTTTTTATTGTTCATTATGCTCTCTCTCTCTCTCTCTTTTTGTGCGTGTCATTTCCTTTCAACACGTTTCTAATTATGTTCACCGAACAACGGAAAAAGCAGGCTTGAGTAATTCTTTCCCGATTTATGGTTGGCCAGTGTAAATATTTTTACTGTAAATATTTTCATGTCAAACTATTTAATGCAAACCAAACAACACCTAAAAGTAAATCCCAAATTTTTTTTTTTAACTAAATTACTGTAGAAGAGTTCTCTTGCACAAGACCAAATTTATAGTGTGGTCCCATAAGAGCATATATTATGCACTCTGTTATTTTTTAGAACGAAAACTGTGCACTCTATTATTCATTCTTATCATCACTTTATTTTAATATTTATTTTACAATTGTCATCCTACCGAATTTTTCACACTTGAAGCATTGTGTAAGGACTCGTCAAACGTACCAAGGAGCGCCACTAAACGCGAACCAAGCAGTCGTCTTAAGTATATGTCGCAGAGTTCAGCTATCCTGTTTTAAGCCTGCGGGTTTAGATCCTGCCCTTACCAACAAATGTATAAATGTCGGGTAGTACTGGCAAGCGGCCAGCCGGCCTCGGACTAGCCTAGTGTTGGCCCCTTTTGGTGCCGTCTCAGCCGGTACCGCCTCGGTAACCCTTACCTTACGGAACCGGGAATCTCAAATACTGAGATCCCATCCAAGATCATGTATATGATTAGCTAAATACGAAGTAGATGAATACAATTATATATCGAATGCATGAAATAAGACAAACATAAAAAAGCATACCACAACAACACATGATATACGTGGTTCACCCTGTAGGGCTTCATCCATAGCCTCGGCAAGTAGAAATCCACTATCACAATGAATTTTACAATTTTGGGTTACAAGAGATAATACATAAATCTAAACATCAGTAAAATTCTATCATCGATCTTCCCTTCTAAACTCGCTCTCCCGACCAAGCGACACCGTCGATCAACTACTACCGAAAAGATAACATCTAGAGAAAAAGAGAGATTTTTTCATTGTAGAAGTGGAAGCCTTACTAACTCAAAACTCATGGGAATACCGCCCCTCTCAGTGACCATGTATATCTCTGTTGGAGACCAATCTCCATCTTTAGAGTTCCATTCCCGTAACTCCTAAATAGGTGACCCTAAAAAAGATAGGATATTATGTCTTTATTGATTCTTCTGTATAGATATCAATTTTTTGTTTATCAAGAAAATCCATTTTCATTTTATCATGATACTTTTAATCTTTCGAAAAAAATATGGGTATAGTAATTTGGCAATCACTAAATCCAACAGTCGGGGCTAGCCTAGCATAAGCTTGGCCGAATAGTCCAGGCCTAGGTGGGGCTATGAATTTTCAGCGCTTATCTGCTGCAGGCTGGGCAAGGCAACATACAATCCATTAAATAAAGGAAAAAAAAAAAAGTAAGGAAAGGTTGGTTTAGGCCAAATCAGTCCTACTGTGGGCTCGCTTCTGACGGCTGTAGCACAAGACAAAAATTTTTTTGGAGCCGTCAATCGGGCCAGCCGGGCTACCAGGCCCATTGGAACGCCTAATGTCGAGATCTCATTTTACGAGTCAATCGCCATTTGGCACCGTATAAAACAAAGTGAAGGTAAGCGTGCAATGGTGGTTATCATATAGATTAGATGACTGGGATAACAAGGATATATAGCTATATGTATGTGGGGAATAAATTATTGATATTGACCGACAACTAACATGATTTTCGCTGATTTTTAATTTGAATTGATAAATTTCTATCATAGGAAATTTTTTACTTATTATTTTTGGATAACTTTTCCGTGTTTTTTTTTTGGGGGGATGGTAACGAAGGAAGTAGCTTTAGGAATCAAGCTTCAACTCTGCATCCTAAATTTCATTCCTGTATAACCTTCCAAAAAATAATAGTTATATTAATAATTAAGGACAGTTCCTATGCATCTATGTAGAAATGAGTTACCTCTTAAAAATATTTTTTGCTTTTAGGGCATAATTTTTAAGAACATGAAATCTCTAACATGGACATCATGAATATGAAAATAAAAGTCAATTTTGAAAATTAGAAATTATAATCTATTAAGAATTAGAAATTATAATTCTATTAAAAAAACATTTGGGCTCTTAGTTTCAATTGTTTTTAAATGGACCACCTATTTGTAACTATTTTTAAAATAGGGTTTTTATACCTCAGGGACCACAAATGTAGAAATGCGGTGCCCACCGCATGAAACAATTTTTTCCAATAATTAATAATGAAGTAGCATGAGCCTGGCGATAAAACTTGGCTCACATTCCATCATGAACAACTTTGGACTTTTTCTATTCGTAGAAGTTCGAAGAACTCATCATAGCTTTTTGGAGCTTACAACTCATGGTGCATGGATTCAGCGTTGGTAGTGCCCTAGACCGTCACTTAGAGTTTCAAATGAATATACAAGCATAGAACAAAAATCCAAACTAAAATAGTTCAAAATTTCTTATGATATTTTTTACAAGTAAAATTCAGATGAAGCACATTTTGGTTTCAAAATTTAACGTCATTTGGCTAATGCAGATGAAAATTTCTTGACTAACGGCGATCTCGAAACAGTTGTGGATTGGATACCTGGCATGGCGAATATCCGTCTAAGAGATGTACCTTTCTTCATTAGGACAACGAATCTTAATGATCTCATGTTTCAATTTTGCACCGTTTAATGCCGTGATGCTCTCAAGGCTTCAGCTCTCATTCTCAACACATTCGAAGATTTAGAGAAACCTGTTCTCGATGCCATGAGAGAAAGAATCCTTTGCCCTGTTGTAAGCTTTAGCCAAAGTGAAACCAATGACCACTTAAAGTCAGTTTCTATGAGCCTTTGGAAAGAAGAAGATGCTTTTCTAGAATGGCTCGATGACAAGGAACCTAAGTAGGTTCTTTATGTGAATTTTGGGAGTGCGGCATTTTTAACACCCTATCAACTCAATGAGTTTGCTTGGGGTCTTGCCATTAGCCAAAGGCCTTTCATATGCTTCATTCGCGAGGATCTTGTAGTTGGCGAATCCGTAATATTAGAAAAAAATTTTGTCGAAGCAACCAAAGAAAGAGGGCTAATCTTGAGTTGGTGTAACCAGATGAAAGTACTGTCACACCATGCAATTGGTGGCTTCCTAACTCACAGTGGGTGGAATTCTACACTTAAGAGTATTTGCAATGGCATGCCCATGATATGTTGCCCCTTCTTTTACGATCAACAAACAAATTGCAGGTACGTTTGCAAGGAATGGGGCATTGGGATGGAGATAAACAATGATGTTAGGAGGGAGGATGTGGAAGCATCGGTGAGAGAATTGATGGACGGAGAGAAGGGTAAAGAGATGCAGTTAAAGGCCAAGAAGTGGAAGGAGAGCTCAAAAAGTGCTCTTAAATTTGGAGGTAGCTCTTATAATAACTTAGAGAGGCTAATAAAAGGAAGTGCTTCTACAGAAACACTAATCAAATCTAAATGTTTTCACAAATTTTACTGGAATGATTTTAGAAGCTTGTATGAAAACTCTATCCTCCTGTAAATTCCATGGATGTGTGAGACTTGTTTCCGCATATGTAGGTGTTCCCATGCGGTAAAAATAATGTGTGGAGTTTATTTGGAGCATTGAAAGATGTTGCTGCATATATGTAAGCAAGGTGGAGAATGAGAAGCAATTTCGAAGCATATTGTCTAGTATGAAAAACGTACATTCTTATGTAACATTTTTTTTAGGTCCTATTTAGCTCGTTGGAAATGTGTATCTTTCATGGATGTCGAATATATATGACAAATCAGGAATCAAATACTCAAATTTTTAGAACTCTGAATAAAGACCTTGCCTTGCTTTTTTTTATTTCTTCATTTTATATTATCCTGATATCAATTGTTTTTATGCATATTTGATTGTCTACTTGTATTTTAGGATTCTAATGTAATTATTCAATTAATTGTTTTGAGAGAAACTTAACTTGATTATTCATTTATTTTCTATGATAATTCTTCATTTATTTTTTAGTTTTCATGCCCATCATCCAATTAAGCAAAAACTTAGAAAAAAAAAAAAACAAAAGAAGAGGAAGGGAGTTAGCAAGGGTCTCCATTCAACATCGTGAGTCACAATCCTGAAGATTCAGGCTATTTGCACTCCTTTAGAAAAAGAGAGAGATCGATATATCACTACGTTCATCAGAGGCTTTTTCTTAGCTGTTGAATTGGGCCAGTTCTAGGGTTGACGTTTGGATTGTAAATTTCAGAAAAAATCCCATTTGTTGACTATTAAAAAGAAAGAAACCCATTTGTAAAATATACGTTGTACTCATCAGAGTTGAACTCTAGGATTACAACTTCGCCATTCAACGCAAGCGACGGCCATAATTCCGTCAACGGCAATGGTAGTCAGATTGCCCTATTACCATTACAGGTTGCCAAACACGTCACCCGTCATGACTTTGGGTCCTGTTGGAAGTGTAACGCAAGTGACACCATCATTGGCGGGGATAGGAGCTTCGTCAGTGTGCAATCTCGGGCGTGACACCATCAGCATTATTGTTGATGCAGCCGGCATTTCGACGAAGTAATGACGCTTGTATCCTGCCACCATCAGTTCACTTAGAAACTTGGCTTTGGGTGCTTGATTGGGCCAGCCGGAAGCCGTCATTGGTGGCAACAGTGTTGATGAGAGTGTCACACCCGTTAATATCTTTCGTTTCGTTCCCATATTCCGATGTTAGACGGTTGGCGGTTGATTCGACCAATGAAAAGACAATGTTACAGTTATTGGTGTCAACAAGCTTGATACTATCCTTACATTGAATTATGAAAATATTGTGTTCAGTTGGTGCCTTCCAATTTCAAGTGATTGGCCACCATTTCGGCAAATCTGAAGCGGCCTCTATTGAGAGTAGTGTTGGCAAGGTTGTTGCCTTCAGTCCTCATTTGCCAGTGTCCGCATTCTAAGGCATCTATCCCTGTGTCACCTGGGTGGTCCAAGCAACCTCCTCATCAACACCATTGGGATTCTCATCGTCCAGGTTCTCAGTATAGTCAATGCTACTTCTTGTCTAGTTTATCCTAAATTGGTAATCCTTGATTCCAGACTTCTTGTTTTGGATCTTTCGTTGCCGGGTCGCTTGAGGCTGACTTTCAGGATTTCAGACTCTTGTCAGGTGGCTCGGTGGTTAGAGTATGGTCCTATTGGGTTTTTCTGGGTGGTTAAGGTCATGAACTGGTCATCCTGGGGGACTTTGGTTTCCATTAGGTATTCTTGATCGGGATCAGAGTGTCTACAATTGACCTTCTTTATCACTCGTATCAATTGCGCGCAATGCTAGATGGGGAAGCAAAAAAGTAGACACCTGTTATATAGAGTTAGGGCACTATGAAGGTGAAAAAGGAGGCACGAGCGGTGCAAAAAATCCTAGTTTCTCAAAAGTCAAACATCATTCGGTGTGTAGGGCCTTCAATCTTTGGGGATCTGCAGGTGAACTTAACCCATTTTTCAGGGTTCTCGATAGGCCCTCTATTTCTCGGTTAAAGTCGTGATGTCAGAATTCCGAGGAAAGGTAAGTTTTCAAAATGGAGGTGAAAGTGCTTTAGGTGGGAAGGTGGAGAAATCTCAACCAAGTGAACTGTAGGCAACCGAGTGACCCAGGGTATTTCCTAGGTTTAGGGCCTGTTTTCAGAAGGTTAGAGGTTTGAGGCGATATTAGGTCTCAGACAGATGGTACCTCTCGCGTCATATTCCCCAATTAGAATTAAGGCAATCTTTTGTGTGATCAAATCATCATTATGAAGTGCAGATCTGACTCTTTTATTTTTAAAAACAGATTTTTAGAGGATTTTGAAATCAAGGAGAGGTTTAAAAACTGCTACTGATGGTGCTTCTGCTCCAGAACCCAGCTCCGACGCTCTGTAACAGGGAGCTCGACCAGAACTCGTTCCTTACTTTTTGGAGCTCGCTTCTATTTTTAGGATTCTCGGTCCCGTTTACAATGGAGCTCGCTCCCAATACTGCACGGAACGCATTCTTTAAATTGTATGATCTCATTTTTTGAATAAATTACATCCCCGCTCCTAGAGTTTTAGGAGCGCAATCCCTACATTTCTGAAATTCCATCCCTATTTTCCTGAAACATCCTAAAAGAAACTTCTTAAATAAAATTAATTTTTAAAATAAAATAATTATATTTTAAACCAAATTTTCATGAAAATGGAGTTCTGCGATGGGAACGTGGATTAATCATGCACAGAATGCGATCCTTCCTTGAATGGAGCTTGATCCTTTCCAAATAGGAACACGATCATTCTTAGATGGGGGCACGATCATGTTGTCGATGGGAGCACAATCCTAATGAATATATGAACACGATCCCATTTGACATGAAAAGCATTTCCATTAAATAGGGATCTCGATCCCAATGTATTGGGAACGCGCTTCCTGTTCATACAGGATCTCGATCAGCTACTTTTGCCCTCATCGAAAATCACTCCCCGAGCTCCGACGCTTTGGGCAGATGTCGCTCCCGCTTCCGAAACCAAAGCCATTCCCGCTTCCTCTCCCAGTAGCTATGATTTAAACTAGAGAGATTAAGGTTTAGTCACATACGCAAAATGTTGAGATTATCCAAATGCAAAATCCAAATTGATGACATTTACCTCAAGAAATAGGACACAGCTCCCATAAACGGGCGGCCTTATTGATCATCCAAATGCAAAATCCAAGTGGTTGTCATACTTTATCACATGAACAACATGTGCTTGACACATAATATCAGGATGGTCCCATATTCAAAAGTTATAATCTTTTCGAATTCCAAGAAAGATTAGGGGCAGGATGCGTTGTCCTAGTGTAAATACATCTCTGAAAATCTTAGGGTAAATAATTTATATATAAATTGATGTTTAATAGTAAGCAATATTTATTTTATTTTTATCTCTTGACCTGGACCTTAAAGAACCCATCTTGAATCCGAGTCTGATGACCGAGATTGGACCAGGTGTGGTGAGACCCAATCGGGTCTGGGTCATGTCCGAGTCTGAACTTGGACTTCACAGGTTAGATCTGACCCGGATCCAACCCGAACCATTTACGCCACTACGTAATGTATGTGTCTAGTACTTAAAGGGCGGATAGTGGGGAAGAAGTTAGTTTTCTTAGTGTTGAGTGACAACAAAATGGAAGGTGTACTATCAAACTAAGGTGTTGTAATATTTAATTCTTAAAGGGATACTTATCACATGGCTAATTTATTTTTTTTTATTAAATTTTTTTCTCCTTCGCATCGATTTAGCCAAAAGATAAAAACAGTAATAAAAAGACGAGAACGACTCCAAAAAAGAAGAACTCGTGCTTCTTGTTTTGGCATCTTCAGCACAACGTGGACAATTATAAGAGAGAGAGAGAGGGGCCGAAGAGAGACCAATCTCTAACATCTGAAGAATAGGGTTGTAAATGGTCCGGTTGGGCGCGAGTTGGCGCTACACTCGAAGCCCAATATCTGATTCGGACACAAGCTAGACCCACTCAAGTCTCAATGCGCCCTCTCTAGGCTTGATTAATGAGACTCAAACAACCTGTTGAGTTTGAGCCCATGTCAAATTATAGACATTTTTTAAGGGCTTATTTGATAATGAGAAGCAAGTTCTTGAACTATAAGTTGGAAATTCTTGAATAACAGTAAATTAGAAGTTACTTAAGAAGTTGATGGTTTA